GAACTGGGAAGACAAACTAAGAATCTAAAGCTACCATCCAGGCAAGGGCAGAAGGGACAAATTCACATACACTTGTGAAGTAGAATTGATGAGTCTTAGCAAAATAATAGACCAGGTTTGTTATAGAGCTATTAAATCACATATGAAATTAATTTTACAACGAAGATTTTGTTTTTTTCAGGGTAAATAATAGGATTATTTTTGTACCTGTTGACTTTGAGGAGCTTATGGTCCAACTGATCGGTGATGTCCAAAAGGCAGTTGGATATGTGACTCTGAAACTAATGAGAGGACCTAGGGCTAGAAATGCACTTAAAAATTTGGAGGTAAATCAGATGACTTCTTGGGCAAGTGAAGAAGTGGAAGAGTACTGAGTAAAGAGCATGACAGAAGAGCTGGGAGCTCTGATCCCCTCCTTCACCCCACCTCCTCACCTTTCCCCATATTATTCTGTGGCTCAGACACACTGTTAAAGACAGTAAATTTAAATAAAAAATAATGTCTACTAATACTTATTTTTTACTCACTGTAAGCTAGAAAGATACTATGCTAAGCCGTAAACATTAATTTAATTATTTTAGCCATCTGTAGTGGATACCCTTATTATTCCCAAATTATAGAATAAACTGAGTCATAGAAGGTTAAGTAATGTGCCCAAGGTTATCAGACAGTATTTTCTGAATATTAAGCAAATGGTGAATGCAAAGCTGGGGTTCGCTACTGCCCTCTGGGCTCAGCCTTACTCTACAAATGCCTCCACTCCATCCCTGGTCATGAGGCCTGATATGCTACCGGTTCCAACACAAGTGCTATTCTGGGTTGGGTTAGCTTTACACCAAATTGAAAAAGGGGAAGCTTTTACTTTTGAAGCCATACACCTTTTCTGTCATGGCTCATCTTAGTCGGTGCTTGACATTCTCCAGAATTCTTCTCTGCTCCGAGCCTCTCCACCTCTGAGCGGCTCCACCTGCCAGCCTGCTCTTTCCTGCTGGCCTTCATGCCTCAGGGCCATTTCCTCCTAGCACATCTTGGGTGACCTGCGCCCTCAATTCTAACCTGTTAGGAGATTGGCCAGTCTGTTGCAAAAATTTCCAATAAGTAGCTGAAATGCTTTTAGTCACTATTCTGGCTTGTGATAGCATATCTAAACCCATAAAATGGATTCTTTAGTAGTGGGTCCTTTGAGCACTGTTAACACTTCCTTCAATATTTATATACCTTTCCACCAAGTTACCAAGTTTAGAACTGTTTTTTCCATATGATATATACTCAAAAAGGAAAGAAAGAAAATAAAAGAGAGATGCGGGAAAGATGGGAGGGAGGGAGGGAGAGAGGGTGGGAGGACAAATTCATGTTGGTACATTTTTCTTTTTCCCCTGGTGCGAAAGCAGTAATCTGGATTTCTCATTATATAAACCTCTTATTTTCACCCACAAAGCAGTTCTATCCTATTCTTTTCGGAATGGAAAAAAGATGCTGCAAAGCCACACACCCTGCCANGGACACCTGGGTTAATAATTTTTCTCTAACTATTTGTATACAATGCGAGAGCAAGAGTCATTGTGTTCAGGCAATTAGCTGCAGGCTCTGTGGTTTGGGTTACAGGAGAGAACAAGTTTTACATTCAAAGGTTTAACAGAATGGAGTCACTTCTGTT